TCGTGGTGGGCGTCAAGAAGGGCGGCACCCGCGCYGTGCTGGAGTTCATCCGCGTGCACCCCGACGTGCGCGCGCTGGGCACCGAGCCCCACTTCTTCGACCGCAACTACGAGCGCGGCCTCGAGTGGTACAGGTGAGCCCGGCCCCGCGCGGCCCCGGCCCTCGCTCCCGGCCGGATCCTCAGCCGCTGCCCGGCGCGGTCCCTGGGAAACGGCCGGTGGCTCCGCGGACGCTCCGTTGCAAATGAGGGCAGTGGTGGCTCCTCGCGTGCCCGCGCAGGACACTGTCCCCGCCTGTCACAGGCAGGCATGTCCCTGCAGCCGGCAGAGCAGGAGCAGCCGTGGGTGCTTCGCTCGCAGCGGGGTCTGTCGCTCCGGCTGGGGAGCTCGTTCTGCTCCGCAGGGCTTGCGCGGCTCCGCGGGGACAGCGGCTCGTGTCCCAGCCGCGGGATCCCCTGCCCTCCAGCATGGGAACGTGGCTGCTGGAGCTCCTGTTAATGAGTCCTTACCGCGTGTGAAAGCATTCCCAGTCCCTGCTGGGAGCCTGAGGCGGCAGCCAGGACAAGGTCAGGTTTCCCTTCCCGCCTGGAGAAACGCCTGTCCCTGTGAGGGAACCCTCGAGATGCCCATGGATCCTTAGCAAATCCAGGGTGTTGTGTGGTTGCTCTCCTGCTCCTGCAGCCCCTCCGTTTGCTTGGCAGCCCTTCAGCTGACAGGTTTTGTCCGCACTGGTGGAAGGAGCAATTCCCACCCTCCCGTCTTGCCTTGGGCAAGTGCAAGTGTGTCCATGCTGATGAGCGCTGATGGGAGCGGAGCCGGGCAAGGGCTGCTCGTGGCGCCAGTGCCCAAGCTGCGGCGTCTCCTGCTCGGCCAGGGCATCGTMGCGGGGGAGCTGGAACCGGGTGCCCTTGGGCTGCGTGCAGATCAATGGGGAGATCACCCCCCACCTGCCAAGCCWCCAAATTAGCTCAGATAAAGCAATTAAATGACACTTCCCAGGTTTTATTACTTTTTCTTTTTTTTTCTTTTTTTTTTTTTTTTTAATCTCACAAATGTGCCAAAACTGAAGCGCGGAGGCCATTAATGTCTAAAATGTGAAATTGATTTTACTGCTTGCGAGGGGAGCAATTAAATATGCAGCAGGTCTAACCCACAGCGTGCTCAGCTCCTGTCCCTCCGCCAAGCGCTCACCGGCAAGCGGCTCCCGCCAGCCGATGCCTCCAGGGACCAGGATGATGCCGGGAGCCACGAGCAAGGTGGGGACTCCTGTCCTGCCCGCCGCCCCTTGCACAGAGTGTGGCTGCCCCGAGCCCAGGCGGGCGTGCGGCCGGAGCAGCTCTTGGTGCCACAGAGCAGAGCCGCCCGGCTCCTGTCAGCCTCTCCAACCCACCTCATTAGCTGGTGATGCTACAGGAAGGGTATTTTTAGCAAGATGTGTTTTAAGAGAGCTGAAACCGAACAGCCAGCTCCGGGATATCGACCTGCCGCCATCCCGGGCTGAGGGCTCAGCGCTGAGTTTTGCTGCTGGAAAGCCCAGCRTATCCCAGAGTCGGGGGCAGAGGCAGCACCCTGTAACCTGCGGCCGTCTCTGAGYGCTGGTCCTGCCAGCAGCGTCTCCAGTGCAGTTTTCCTCTCCTGGATTTCCTGTGCTGCCTTCGCAGAGGTGCCAGGACCAACCACTGGCACCGTAGTGCAGAGGCAGCCGTGCAGCATGGGATGCCATGGGCAGGGGCAGGAGTATTGCTGCCGTGGAGCGTTGCTGCYGTGGAGCRTTGCTGCCATGGGCAGGGACATTGCTGCCATGGGCAGGGACAGGGGCAGGAGCGTCGCTGACAGGGACAGGAACATCACTGTCATGGGCAGGAGCGTCACTGCCGTGGGCACGGGCAGGGGCAGGAGCGTCGCTGCCACGGCACACTGCAGATTGCAGGCCCAGCTCATCACTCCCACTACCGGGAGCTGCTGGTTCCCAGGCCGGGCTGCGGGCGGGTTTTGCTGGAGCTCATTAGCAGAAGGGGAAGGCGGCGAGCGTCGAGGTGCTTTGAAGTCTCCTCGACTGCAGCGCGTTTCCCCACGGCTCCTCTGGCAGTGGCAGCTTTTGCCCCGGTGCTGCCCGGGGGACCAGCGTTCCCCCCAGGTCCTCCCGGCYCCGTGCGCCCCTGGCCTCGGGCACCGGCAGGCTGAGGAGCCCATCACAGCCAAGGCAGCGGGAGCAGGGCTGTGCCCGGAGCATCTCCAAGTGCATGACCCATCTCTGCAACAASCTTTTAATTGCGGCAGTTGTGGCAGATTAGGTGCTTTTCAAGGAATATTAATTTTTAAAGTTTTGCCTAAGAAATGTGCTGCCTGGGAAGCTGCAGCAGTGACCCCAGATGCCGTCCGGCTCCGCTCGCCGGTGCCCAAGGGGATGGGGYGGCCGGGCTGTGACGCGACGCGGGACGGGCAGCCTGTCCTTTGGGAGAGACTGTGCCCACTTAAAGGACGCTGCAAACCTCCGGAGCATTAAAGTGATTAAAAATGAATCAGCAACAAAGTTAATTACTGCACTTGCGCTGCTGCTGTGCATTGAAACGTCCCTCATTAGCCGCTGTGAGTGCCGGCCGAGCTCTTGGAACATAAACAGTTGTTAGCAGAGACGCTCCGAAGGGCGGACGCGGCAGAGCCTGGGGACTGCAGTGGGGCAGCGGGATGGGGACAAGGCGGCTCCTCCGGGATGAGCCGGTCAGTCTGGCTGTCGAGGGTCTGGGATGACACCGGCTCCTACGCTTTGGTTGTCAGCTCATCCTGGAAATCCATGGAATGGGCCCCGTCTGGGGGCACCCGGACACCTCGGGCTTTGCACACTGCACCCGGGCCCGAGGGATGGAAACCTTCACCTGCTCCTGCTCGTGGCATGCACGAGAAACGAGGCATGCACAGCATGCACGGCGGGCACAACGGGCACGTGCCTGGCTACAGCATCAGCTGCACGAGGGAGGAAGTGCAGCCCTGGCCCCKAGAGCCGGTGCAGGGGATTTCTTGCCAAATTAAACAGTTTGTTTTCGTGCCGACAAGTGTTTGAAGCCCGGGATTATACGCACTCAGGTCCGCAGCCGCGAGCAGTGCCGGGCTGAGCCGCCAAATCCTCTGCACACAGGCAGCCGCGGCGGGCAAATATTTAGCAGGGTGCCGTCCTCACGCGCCGTGGGGCTGTGCACGCGTGTGCGGCGCTGGGGTTACACAACATGTCCCCCTGCCCACGCTAATCCACAACGTGTCCCCCCACCCTGGCTAATCCGCATCGCGTCTCCGTTCCGTACGGACTCGCCCCTGGAGCGGCACCATGTGTGTCCCACATCGCCGGCACTGGAGCCGCTGGCACTGTAGGCGGGAGCTTGTTGGGACCACCGGCTGCCATGAGAATGAATGATCCCKGGTGAAGGTGCTGCTGATCCGCAGCCGGGGAGCACTGCGAGACGGCCACGGTCCCAGGAGCGCTGACCGAGCTGCCGGGGCCCGATGGAGCGGCGAGCACCGAGCCGGGCCCCGCGCCCGTGGTGGGTTACGGCACCAGGAGGGCGCCCGGAGCCTTCAGCCCCAAACACGCCAGCCCTCCGCTCAAAACTCGGTGACATGCTATTTGTATGCAAATAACTGTGGATGCTGAGGTCCAAAAATATCATTTTAAAGTCAACTGTAATTAAGTTTGCAATGCATTTCCCAGCTCTTGCAGCTCTGGGGATCCCACCGTTAGCATAAAGATGAATGTCTGGATGACATTTCTCCCCCTTGTAAGGCTTTGCTAGTGATTTATTTATCTGTTCGGGCTGTGTTTTGTTGTCTCAGCAGTCCCTGTTGCTCGGGAGCAGCAAACACTGCATTTAACACCATTAAAAAAAAAAAAAAAAAAAAAAAAAAANAAGATGAATGTCTGGATGACATTTCTCCCCCTTGTAAGGCTTTGCTAGTGATTTATTTATCTGTTCGGGCTGTGTTTTGTTGTCTCAGCAGTCCCACATGCTCGGGAGCAGCAAACACTGCATTTAACACCATTAAAAACAAAAAAAAAAAAAAAAAAAAAAGCTTGTCTCATTTTGGGAATTTATTATGCAGCAATTTTGTGTTTTTCATAATTGATTAGAACCCATAGGTTCATTTTTTAAATACATGGACCTAATAGCTCACGTAATGAAACTCCAACAAGCCTGAGGATGAACCATTAGTGAAACAGCAGCTGCAGATGCTGCAGCAATATATCGCGACAGCGACTCACTTGCAGAGTCGCCCTGCGCTCACTGACGAGGAACCTGCCTGGCCRAACTCTGCGCTCGCCCCGCTCCGCRGGGGCTGCCGGSCGCCTCTGGGGCCCTGGAAGCACTGCTGCTCTTTCCATGGCTCAAGGCTCCCCGCGAGGGTTCTGGATTCGGCTGGATGTGCCGACCAGCTGGCGTTGCCGCGGCCAGAAAGCCCCCGGTTGCAGCAGGGCCGCGGAGCTTGGGCACCGTCTGCGCCATGAATAAATCAGCGCACTGCTCCGGCCCAATTCCCGCGGGCTGCGCCCCCGGCTGCTCCCATCCCCAGGCTTCGTCGGGCTGTTTCCCAACGCTCAATTAACTTCCAACCGGGAGTTTGTGAACACGAGCCACTGGCCTTGCTGCAAAGGGGAGAAAGCAGCAGATGCTTCCGAGCGATAAATGTCACAGAACAAGTGGAGCGGGTGCAGCCGGCACCGTCCTGGGCCCAGAGAGCCGGGTCCCCTCGCTTGGCCTGGCGCTCTGGCCCCGCTCACGCGGGCAGCGCCCAGAGTCGCCTGCGATGGATTTAGGAGTTTCCTCCACTAATGCAATGCCCGTTTATAAATCTTTCCGTCCCATTAGTTTTTATTTGATTTGGCTGCTCGCACATCGGAGGCAGTGATTYAATTAGCACTGATCCACACAGCCTGGCACGCGCGGTGCAGCTCCCGGGAGTGGCAGCTCCGGAGGCCGCGGGCATCCCGGGACACACTGCGGCTCCGGGTGCAGTGTGAGCCAGGCTGTGCTCGTCCTCCTGCCACGGCTCTGGGGTCTCCGGGCTGGGTGGGAGCGGGAGGCGGTGCCCAGGCTCCCGCGCCTTCCTCACCCTCCTCTCCCTCGCTTGCAGGAGCCTCATGCCACGGACGCTGGACAGCCAGATCACGGTGGAGAAGACGCCCAGCTACTTCGTGACCAAGGAGGCGCCGCGGCGGATCTTCAACATGTCCCGCGACACCAAGCTCATCGTGGTGGTGCGCAACCCGGTGACCAGGGCCATCTCCGACTACACGCAGACGCTCTCCAAGAAGCCCGACATTCCCACCTTCGAGGGGCTGTCCTTCCGCAACCGCAGCCTGGGACTGGTGGACACCTCCTGGAGTGCCATCCGCATCGGCCTCTACGCGCTGCACCTGCAGAGCTGGCTCCAGTACTTCCCCCTCTCCCAGATCCACTTTGTCAGCGGGGAGCGGCTCATCACGGACCCGGCCGGGGAGATGGGCAAGGTGCAGGACTTCCTGGGCGTGCGGCGCGTCCTCACGGACAAGCACTTCTACTTCAACAAGACCAAGGGCTTCCCGTGCCTGCGGCGGGCAGCAGGCGGCAGCGCGCCCCGCTGCCTGGGCAAGTCCAAGGGGCGGACGCACGTGCAGATCGACGCCGAGGTCATCGAGCAGCTGCGCGACTTCTACCGGCCCCACAACGTGCGCTTCTACGAGACCGTGGGGCAGGACTTCAGGTGGGAGTGAGGCGGGCGGCTCGGGCGAGCTCTGCGGCCACGCCGGAGAGCCAAGGGCGCCATCCCGGCCCGCGCGGCGCCGGCGGTGCCGGTCCTGGCGGGAGCTGCGGGGGCTCCGGCGGGAGCGGGGCCGGCGCCGCACGCGGCCCAACGCCACCGAGCGGTGCCTGCCCGGGAAACGCCTGCGGGGAGCGCTGTACCGTGTCCTGTCCCGCGAATAAAGCACAGAGCCCTGCTCTTACGGGTATACCCACCGCCCGCTCCCTCCCCACGTCCCCACGCGTGTCCCCATGCAGGGGCTTCCCTTGGGATGYTCCCGGCGCCGCCGCCACGCGGCTCTGCGGTGCCGAGCGGTGCAAGCTGCGACCGGCTCTCCCGCACCGCCCGGCCCTGCCGCCGGCGGCACCGCTGCACCGCGCGGTCATTGAGCTCCGCTTCTGAAACACAGACAAAACTACGTGATTCAGAGCTAATGAAAGCGGAGCTGCAGCACCGGGGCTCACTGCAGCGAACTCTCCAATGGGTGCTGCGTAGCCCCYGTGTCTTCACCCCCCTTCACAGCCTGTGACCTCCCGGGGTCCCGCCTTGCCCGGGGCCCCTGGTGACGTGTGCGTGGAGCGATGCTGAGCGATGCCAGCGATGCCATTTCACAGCAGACAGAAGGGCCCCGGCAGCTCATTCAGCAGCGTCTGCAGGAGCAGCGGAGCCCGGGGCTCCCAACACTGCCCTGGCCCTGGTCCTGGCCCTAAAGCAGCTCAGGAGCGACACGAACCCCAGGGCGTTCGGCAGCTCTGCTGGCCCGACCTCAGCTAATCGGCATCAAAACACCCCATTAGGGGAGAAAATAAGCAAACAGCCTCGCAGCTCCCTGGCTGCCGGCTCCAAGGGACAGCACGGTAATAATTTTGATGGAGAGTATTGTCATTTTGCTTTTCCCCAGCAAATTATCATCTGTTGATGTTCCAGCACTGCCTGTGCCAAATCAACAGGCGCATTTCAGTGCCACCCTCCTACTGGTGCAGCCTGCCAAGGCCGAGATGCTGCCAGAGCCGCCGGCGCCAGCTGCCCCAAGCGGCTGCTCCCAACAGAGCCGAGCCTTGGGAACGCGGGCAGCGGGACCGTGCGGCTGGTGCCCTGCGGGTAGGAACATGCGGCTGGTGCTGTGCAGGTAGGACCTAGGACCGTGTGGCTGGTGCTGTGCAGACCCACCCGCGCCCTGCACCGCAGCCCCGCTCTGCACCCGCCTTTCACCCCCTGGTTCTCTCCCAAGCACCTAACAGGTTTGCACAGTGCAGCCCCATCCCAAAGAGCAGCCTTAATGAAGCGCTGTGCTGCTGCGTGTGTCTGTCTCTGTCATCTGYCCAGGCTCATACCACGTAAATCAGCACTACTTGTGGGGAAGCTAATTAACAGTAATCATGAAAACTCATTAGTGCTCATTTCCATCAGATACACAGAGAAATATCCTAACCTTTAATGCTGGCATCCAGGAGCCATTTGCATTTCTGCGGGACACTTAATTCAAAGGCAGAGGCGCAGGCCCTGTGCAGCGGATCCAGCTGTTTCCCGGCTCTCTGGGCGCTGCCACAGGCAGCTCCAAGCCTGGGGGCCCGGCTGCACGCGGAATGAGCACGGGCTGCACAGCAGGATGAGCGCAGGCTGCATGKCAGGATGAACACGGGCTGCATGGCAGGATGTGCACATGCATGCCCTGCAGCTCCTGTGCAGCCCCATCTGGCCCCGGTAGCCCGTGTCGCTCACAGGGCAGCAGAGCGTCGCCTCCGGCCCCTGCGCTCCTGTGCGGAGCTGCTGCCCCGCACACCGCAGCAACACAGCAGCATGAAACGTATTAGCTAAAACAGTTTGCCATTAAAGCAGATCACGTCCTGGAAATCTGGGCGGTAAGCTGTGCAATTTCACCCCGCGATACGACTGGATTAAGTTGTTCCCACAAAAGCCTCTTATTGTACGAAAAAGACCATTAGCAACCTATGCAATCAATAGGAAGCGCGGGCCCGTTGCTGCGAAACAGCCGCCGCCGCAGAGCAGCAATAGCCCCAATTAGGCCGGGCCCATTTCGCGGGCTCGCCACGGAGCGAGCCGGGCTGCAGGAAGGAGCAGCGGGAACACTGCRGAGGGCAGGACTGCCGAGGTGCCGGGCACCCCACGTTTGGGAGCGYGGAGCAGCCGGAGCCTCGTCCGGAGCCGCAGCCTGGGGGTCCAGCGCTCCCGGTACCCAGCGTGGCGGCACCGGCTCCGGGCGGCCAAGGAAGGATCAGGCTGTTGTGCCGGATTAATCCTGGTGCTCCCTCACCTGCGGCCTAGGATCTCCTGCAATCAGGATTAAAAGGCAATATTGGAGGATAAAGAATGGGGAACGTCTTGGGGCGCTCTGGCATCCTGGCCCCAGAGCCACCACCGAGGTGGCGGCACCTCGACGTTGCACCGGAGCTCGGAGCCGGCACCCAGGTGCTGGGTGCAGCGGGCACCCAGGGGGGCAGCGCCCAGGGGTGCCCGTGGCTCCCTGCGTGTCCCGGGGTGCCCGTGGCTCCCTGTGTGTCCCGGGGTGCCCGTGGCTCCCTGTGTGTCCCGGGGTGCCCGTGGCTCCCTGTGTGTCCCGGCTGCGGCGCTGGGGAGGCCACGCGGGACGGGAGCGCCCTGATGAATTAGGTGCCACGGGGCTCGACCGCGGGCCATTAGCCACGCAGCGCACTCGCGCGGCATTCCTTAAACTAATGGATGGCTGGAGGTCAGGCGGTAATAAGAGAGGGAGAGAGGGTTATTAGTTTTTATCAGACGTTAATTGGCCCAAATCGATGACTGCTGGGGCATGGGCAGTGTGTGAGGGTGGGCTGCCCCCTCCCAAAGGCAGCGCTGCGCAGGGGCGCAGAGCGGGCACGGAGGGGACACGGAGGGGACATGGAGCGGATACAGAGGGGACATGGAGGAGACACAGAAGGGACATGGAGGGAACACGGAGCCGCAGCACCGGGATGGGTGGCCACAGCTACCTGGGCGTTACCCCCAGCCCCAAGTGCTGCTTCCCTGGGGCCGTCCCATCCTCGTGGAGCCCCCGGGAGCAGCGCTTTCCGCCCTCCTCACCCGGWGCGCGCACACAGGAGGAGCGGCAGAAATTATTTGGGAACAGTTCAGGTAATACAGCATTTATCTAACAAGGTTCCAAATGAAAACTAGCATTTGGACTTAYTGCATTCTGGCTCAAAATTTGATTACATTTTTCTACAGCTGTAAATCTGCCTCCCTTTCTGCAACATTATTATTAAAGCCAGTATTGAATTGCTGGTGCGATACGTAAAATTTCAATCCTGGCTTTGACATTCCAGGAAGTTAAAAACCAATTACAGAGTGTGCTTTGCCTCAGGCCAGAATGAATCATTGAACACAGCCACTTTTCTGGGAGAAATTAAAGGTTGAAGCAGCAACACAGGGAAGGTATTAAGTAAAAAATCAAAGGTCAATTAAACTAAAACTGAGTCTATTTTATTTTTAATATTTTGCCTGCATTTTCATTCCTTCCTGATGAACAAGGAGGCAAAATAAACCCACACTCTTATTTATTTGCTGGGCAATAAATCTGCACTGAAGCTGGTTTCTGAAGCGAAGAGGAAACACGGAGGAAATGAAACTCCCAGCACATGAAGCCGGCCCAGCCAGGGCCGCACGCGCAGAGACCCCGCACATGGGCCGGCAGACCCCAGGACGCGCTCGGCACAGGGCCCTCTTGCCGCCTGCTTTGTGCTGGATAAGCCAGCGGCTGCTCCCAAAGCCCTCGGGTATCCACAGGCTGGGCGGGAGGGCAGCACAGGCAGGAGGCGCATCCCGGGAATGGGGCGGCTCGGTGCGCTTGGGGACCCCGAGCTCGGGAGCAGGTTGGGGAGCAAGGGAGTAGGTTTGGGAGCAGGTTGGTGCCCGCATCGAGGCCTCCCGTCAAGCCCAGGGCCGGTCGCGCTCTCCCGTTTCTGCTCCTGGTGCCACTCGCGGCTGCCTTCGCCTCGAAGCAGAGCACGGCGCCCACTCGCTACCTATGGTCAGTCATTCACGAGGGCTCTGCCGCGGGCGCTGCTGCTGGCCGTGGGACGGGCAGCACCGTCCTCGGCTCGGGAGCCCCCAGCCCCTTCCCGCGCGGGCGCCGCCGCTCCCATCGCTCCRGGACCTCGCAAAGGGCACAGGGAGACACGCGGTAGAGCCGGCCCGGGCCCCGCGAGCGCAGCCGCTGCTCCCGTAAACAACAACAGCGCTATAAATATTCTATAAGGCGAGAGCTGCAGTGCATTAAAAAATGATAAGGCCCCCACCGCTCCCGGGAGCCGCTTCTCTGCGCTGGGCCAGGCGAGAGGTGTTTAAATAGGATGTCGGCCGGGGCTGACAAGGGGATTTGTCGTGGTGCTGATGAATAGCGTGAGAAATACTCAATACCTTGAGGAAGGATCAATTTATCACAGTTTGCTTGGACTGAGTGGAAATACACTGCCATCCCCACGGCCTTCGTTTATTAAGAAATTCRTGTCATTATGTCAGACAGGGGATTTCTTATTTTTTTTTCACGGGTTTAAGCTAATGCGGGCAGAGGACCACGCTAGCTACACRATAACCTGCTGCAGCAGCTGCCTCCTGTAAACAGCTCCTGAATTGGGGACGGGGCTAATTGCAACGTCATTAACCCGGGGCAGGAGGGAAAAGGGCCTTCACCCAGCCACTAAGCAAGCCCGGGGTTACTCAAGTCATCGCACGGCCCCCGTCTCCCTTCTCCAAAGCCCCAGACCCGGACTAGCGACGCCGGGGCAGGACGTGACCCATGGGCACCGACAGCAGCCTCCSTGCGCGTGGGGCAGGGACGAGGGGCAGCCCTGGTGCGAGCAGGAACTTGGAGCCCGTCCCGGCTCCTGCCCAGGCTCCTGCTGGAGGAGCCGCCGCTTCCCGGCCAGCCGGGGCCCCGGGCYCTCGGGTACCTATGAAACATGGCAACAGCTCAGAGCCCTTTAGGCCCTACAGGAAA